TCCGCACTCACCCGTTTCAAGGAATGTTTTAATAAAAGGTTCGAGGGGCAGCAGATTCCCTTGATGCAGGTTTTGGACCCGGAGTTGGGCATAGGATACGAAGACCTCGAACAGTCGATCGGTACAGAGGATTTTATCCTGCAATTGGCGATGAAGGCGAACTCCAATGAAAAGGATGATCCGATAAACGCGATCAAACTTTCACTTTCCCAGAATATGCTAATGGCGGATACCATTGATATTGAATCGCTATTTCCCCAAAAGGTTATCCAGCCATCGCTGCTTCCCAATACGATCAGCGCCATGTTCCACATTGCCGATGACCTGTTGGTCATCGATCAACTAGGAGGGATTACCGCCAACTCCCTATTGGGCCGCTTTACACATGCCGACGAAGCTATCCATGCCCATTGTAGAGAACTGGCACAGATCGAGGCCAATGCCAACCCCGATGTGGTTTTCTTTGACATTGGCTATCAGGTAAAGGACCGTATTGATAATATCAACCGAAGAAAATCCGTATTTAGCCACCAATTAAGCATCCTTGATTTTGACACGTCAGCTGACCCGATAAGCTTATCCGATATCTATATTTCCATTGATCAAAATACCATGGTGCTGTGGTCGAAAAAATTAAACAAACGACTGGTACCCCGAATGGCCTCGGCGTATAATTATACCAAATCTGATCTTCCCTTGTTCCGGTTGCTCTGTGATCTTCAACACCAAGGCATCAATGCCTATCATCAATTTGATTTGCACACCATCTTACCGGGATTGGCTTATTACCCACGTTTACAGTTCCGCAACCTGATATTGTCTTCGGCCAAGTGGATCATCAAAAGTACCGAGCTATACGGAAGCGGCCAATCTACCGGTAAAATTGCGTCGTCTAGAGCGTACCTGCGAAGCATCGGTGTAACAGGTTATTTCAAGAGTGGATTTGCCGACCAAACACTTTGCTTCCATATAGATAACGATCGGGACATGGAATGCTTTTTGCGCTATACCGAGAAAATGTCCAAAATTACCATAGAAGAAGTAGTGATGGGAGAGGAGCCGGTGGTCAGGGATGAAAAGGGCAGTCCCTATGTTGCCCAGTTCATTGCCAGCCTGGTCCACCATGAAGAAATATACAGGACGCCACGAACCATTTCCCATCCCAAAGCAAAGAATGTACAGCGAATGTTTGCTCCTGGGTCCGAGTGGATCTATTTTGAAGTGTACTGTCATACCCAACGCATGAATAGTTTGTTGCTAGACTATGTTGAACCGTTTGTTGTATCGATGAAGGGGACCATTGAAAGTTGGTTCTTTATCCGCTACCTGACCGAAGATGGCTCCCATCTACGGGTCCGGTTTAAAATGTGCACAGCAGATCAAGCACCGATGGTAATCGCCGCATTTTCAGAAATGCTGAACGAACAACTTACTGGTGGCATCATTGCAGACCTTTTGCTCAGAACCTATAAAAGGGAACTTGAACGATATGGTCAAGAATTGGTTTCTAATGCTGAACATTGCTTTCATTTGGATACTAACCTTGTCTTAACCTTGCTCAGAAGTGAACCTACGGATCAACAACTTTACCAAATGAGCCTCATGGTTCTGGAGTCTCTAAGGGGTTCAGGGCTGTTAGGCCACGATAGATTTGAACGGCTTATTTCCGATGTTTCAAAATCGTTTACCGAAGAGCATCGTCTTGGAAGTGCCGAATTTAAAGAGCTCAACAAGTGTTTTAAAGCCTTTTCCAAATTGCCAAACCTCTACCTGAATGAAGAACAACATCTCCATATGGGATGCTATTGCAAAGGGCTGATCTCATTACTGGAACGGGCAGACGAAATAGAGCGCAGTTCTACGACAGTGAGCATGTTCCACATGCACGTCAACCGGCTTTTTTCCTCACACCAGCGAACCCATGAAATGATATTGTACTACTTATATTTAAAGGAGTTCCAAAGGGGCAAATTTGCATAAGAATTTCAAACACCACCAAAATCTTCCAGCATTTTATAAACCGGTCACAAAAGCCATCCCTTAAAAAAAATCTAATTATTGTCAAGTTTGAAAATACCTACAGATAGGTACACTGTGAGTAAGGTGGATAACGGTACTTTGCCGCCATGAAACGTTTGCCGATAGTTATAATCATACTCTTTATCGTACTTTATATGGTTTGGATATGCATGTCGCCAGTTCCCGTTGCTACCTTACCCAATCCCTAAAGCCCTTTGCCCGTTTCTGGCTGATGACCACCTGCTCTGAAAAGGCTGGTTTCAATTCCACTTCCATCTTGCCATTCTCGATATTCTTGTAGCTGACCAATGCCTTGCGGTTGATGATCAGTTGGCGGTTAATCCGGAAGAACCCATTATCCAATTGCTGTAGTACGTCATCCAATGTGCCCGATATAAAATATCGTTCACCGGTAAAAGTCAATAGGTAGTTGGCTTCATCTTCACGGTAAAAATAGGCGAGATCCGCGTAGGATAATGCAATGGTCTTTGCGCCCTGGCT